CCCTCCCTCTCCCCCTTCTCTCCCGGTCGCGCACGGCGGCGTTCTGGCGCAGCCGGTGCAGATCGTGCCGCCCCCGGCCGAAAGCGAGTACGTGTCGTCGGACGCGGTCTTCGGGCGAGGAGGCCCCCTCGTCGTCTTTGTCGCCGCCGCCGCTGTCGTCGTCGTCCTCCTCCTCGTGCTGCTCCTCCTCCTCCTCCTCCTCCTCCTCCTCCTCCTGTCGGGCTTCGGCTTCACAGTGCAGCATCCAGGCAACAAGCACGGCCAGGTAGAACTCTGGCAGCGCCGCTCTTCTGCCTAGTCTCTCCCTTCCCCCCCTCCTTGTGTTTGTATCCTCTTCCCCCCTCTTCCTCTCCCTCAGGGGCTGGGCGCGGTGGAGCCGCGTTGGCATCCCCAGCGCCCCTCGCGGAGCCAGGGAACAGCTGCTGGCCGACGAGGCTGGCACGGCTTAGATTCACTCCGAAGCGAAAGTCTAGAAAATGTCCTCTTCCTGCTCCTCCTGCTCCTCCTGCTGCTCCTCCTCCTCCTCCTCCTCCTCCTCCTCCCTCGCCCTCCCTCGCCCCCTTGAGGCCAGGATCGCCCCTTCCCCCTCCCCTCGCCCTCCAGGCCAGCCCTCCACTCGTCGTCGCCCTCCCACCTCCGCCCTCCTCCCTTCGCTCTTCTCCCTCCCCCTTCGGCCCTGGACCTTCTCAGCAGGAGGGAGTACGTATGGAGGAGGGAGCAGCATAGAGAGCAGCATGGGGAGGAGGATGAGGAGGAGGATGAGGAGGAAGGCAGGCAGGGCGACTCCTGATCAACGTCGGTGCACCGCGAAAGGAGGAGGGCTGATCATGATTCGTTTGAACAGGGTGGCTGGACGATTGATGAGAATGATGATGACGCTGATGCTGACAATGTTGTTGATGATGCCAACTGTGATCTCGATGTTGGTGATGACGACGGTTACAATTGTGATGCCGACAAGTATGATGATAACGTGTATTCGGATGGCGACGGCGGTGATGACGTCTCGAGTGTTGATGCGGGTGACCACGATGGTTGTGGCCATGATTATGATCAGGACGGTCGTGATGCTAGTGATGACGACGAGTAATTTGATCATGTTTGTGGTGATGACCGCGATGATGACGATGGTGGCGGTCATGATGATGCTGATGATGGCGGTGGTGGTAATGATGAGGAGGATGAGAATGAGGAGGAGAAGGAGAAGGCCCCTTCCTCCCTCCCTCGCTCTCGCCTCGCTCCCTCCTCCCTTGCCCCTTCCTCCCTTCCCGCCTCTGTCCTCCTTCTCTCGTCCTGTGTCCTCCGTCCTCCGTCGCCAATCCTCCCTACCTCCCTCCCTCCCTCCCTTCCTCTCTCCTGCCTCCCTCCTCCTGCCTCCCCCCCCCCCGCAGCCCTCCCTTCTCCTGCCTCCCTCCGTCCTCCTGCCCCCCCCCCTCCCTCGCCAGGCGCCTCGCCGGCGGGCGGCGAGCGCTGGGGCGAGCCGCTGGGGACCTTGTGGAGGGGAGGGGAGGGAGGGAAGGAGAAGGTTGGAGAGGGAGGGGCGGGGGGGGGAGGGGACAGGGGCAAGCTAGGTGCGCTCGCGTCATATCTGACATCCTACCCCTCCCTCCCATCCCTTACCATGGCGCAGATCCCCTCTCTACTCGCATAGTCGGATGTCGAGCAGGGCAATGATCCCGAAAGGGTACGCGATGCATTGTAGAGGACAGGGGAGAGGGCCTGTCCCCGTGGTTGCTGGGTCCAAAAGCGGGACAAGTGCCGGGACCGTGGGGAGAGGAGGCAGGGGGCATGGGTGCGAGAGGGGGGGTGGCGCTGGAGAGGGGAGGCAGGGAAGGTGGGAGAGGAGGGGAGGGCAAGGCTCAGGGCAGAGGGCGGGGGGGGGAAGCAAGGGGGGAGGGAGGGATGGAGGGATGGAGGGGGGGGACGAGTGGGAGAGGGGGGGAGATGGAATTGGGAGGGGAGGGGGTGATAGGGCACAGCGCTGGGTTTTGGTCTGAAGCGTGATGGTTCTCGTGGTGGAAAGATGTAAGCATGAAGAGGGGGAAGGGGGAGGAATCTTTGGGAGGTAGAGAGGTCATCACACGGCATCAGTATTATGGACCAGAGCAAGGGAAAATTGTGTGGGGAGGGTGGGCGGGAGGGAGATGGAGAGAGGGATGGAGCGAGGGAAGCTGTAGAGCGACAGGGAAAGAGGGATGGAGGGAAGGGAGTGTGTAGCGACAGGGAGCGAAGGAGAAGCGGAGACGAAGAGATGCAGGGATGGGAAGGGGCGCGGGGGTGAGGGGAAAGCACCCTCCCCGCTCCTTCCTCCTCGCCTCTCGCACCCCGCGCCTCTCCCGCCTCTCGCGCCGCTCCCGCCACTCCGCCCCCTTCCCCCCCCCCCCCGCCCCGCCCCCCCTCCCCCCCCCCCTCTCCCGTCCCCCTCGCCGCCCCCGCCCCTGCTCTCCCCTCGCCCCGCCAGGCGAAAGCGATCCGCAGCCGCACCCGATGGACGTCCTTGGCTCCCAGCTGGCTGGGCGCCAGGAGACGCCAACGTTCGCGGATGTAGGCCCAGGGTGGCCCAACCGAGCAGCCTCGGGGGAGAGCCCCCTCCTCGTCCTCCTCCTCCTCCTCGTCCTCCTCCTCCTCCTCCTCCTCCTTGCTCGATTAGGATGTCCGGTTGCTATTTGGCTGGAAACGCCGGCGCGAACTCATCTGATGTGGTAAAAACGGTTCGGCATCTCGCATGCTTTCGTCTTACCGCCATCCGAACCCCCGTAATTCTAGTTGGTAGTGGAGCTGGGAGCGATCTCAGTGCGCGATCCGCAGAGGCGCAGAGTGCGATGTGGACGCACATTCGCACTTCCCTCACCATCCGCATTGGTACCACCCCCCTGTCTCTGAACAGCCTGTGCTTATGGCTGTTTTGCGAACTTCACGGTAATTCGCCCAATTCACCCTCAGGCGCGACGAGGCCAACGGCTACGACCGCAAATGGCCTTGTGATTGGTGTACCGTCTCTTGGGAGGCAGATGGCCTGGTGTAGGTGTCAGCATACCCAAGGGGGCAGCAATGCCCCAGCCACCCACTGTCAACAACTTTCTGGCACTGACAGTAGGGCGTCATCGCTATACCGCGCGACTGTGCCAGTGTTTAGGTTTGGATTGAGCGCAGTGGTGTTGGCTTTCCTCTTTGCCAGCACGCTGCGCACTCCAACTTCTTCAAGCTGTTTAAACATTACTGTTTCACCACCCTCGCGCATCACCAAGGGACCCAATACTACCACGACTGCTTCAAGTGGTAAGATGGCTTTCGTCCCTGGGCAGGACCGAGCCCCAAAGCGCCTGACAGGAGTCCATGTACCAGGCGAACAAAAAACGGTTTCTTCAGGAGGATCCCCAATGTGGAATTATTGGGCAGTATCCTCATCCTCTCCTTGGCCGCCTTGTCCTGGCTGATCTGCATGATGCCTGGAGCCGGTCAAGGCGGAGGCGGTGGCAGAGGCGGCATCACGTCCCGCCAGCCATCATTCTGGTCATCCGAATGGGAATCAGCGTGCCCGTTCTCCGCCAGTGTGTGCAGGGCCTACCCGCATGGAACGTTTTCGCCACCGACATGGACAGCACCCAACAGTGTGCTGCCATCATCCTTAACCTCGGCGGCGCCGCCCGCGAGCTTCTCCGTTCTATGAGCTTCACGGAGATGACAGAAGGAGAAATCACCAACGGACTGCAGGGAAACGCTGTCACGTTCCTCATCGCGAACCTCGCGACCCAGTTCTAACCACTTGGTGAAGAATCGAACCTCCGAGCTACCAGGGAACTCTGCGAGTTCCCCAGGCGACGCAACGAGATCACCGACGCATTGCTTTTGCGGTTCCTCACACTGCGGTTCCGAGCAGCGCACGCCAGTCGAGCTGCGATATCATGGGAAGGCTTCAGCTGCGTGCTCCCCCAAGCGGTCGGTGTTGCCGCGAGCCAGCTCATGACGCTGCTACGAGGAGGAGAAGGAGGAGGAGAAGGAGGAGGAGGAGAAGGAGGAGGAGGAGGAGGGGGGGGAGTCACCATTGTTCCCTCCTCCTCCTCCTCCTTACTAATCTTCTCCCCCCTGCTCCTACTTCCCTCCTCCTCCTCCTCCTCATCTGTGCGGCGCCGCGGGCCGTTGCCCCGACTCCCTTCTGCCCTGCAGGCGCGAGCCACGGCGCGGCGGCGTCCGCGGACCACGAGCCGGAATTCGCCGCCGGCGCGAGCCACGGCGCGGCGGCGTCCGCGGACCACGAGCCGGAATTCGCCGCCCCCTCCAGGCCCTCCCGTGGGGAGGGTGGGGAGGGAGGGGCAATTGCGAGCTCGGGGGAGGAGGGTGGAGCTGAGGGGGGGTTCACTTCGCTCGGGAGCTCCCGAGCGAAGTGAACCCCACCCTCCCCCTCAGAAATCGTGGGGGGTAGGGGTAGGGTTCGCATGTGGCCCCCTAGCTCGGGGGGGAGGAGCTCGGGGAGGAGGCGGGTAGGAGCTCGGGTAGGAGCTCGTGGAAGAGTTCGGGGAAAAGGAGGAGGAGGAGGAGGAGGAGGAGGAGGAGGAGCAGAAGGATCATACTGATGATGATGAGGAGGGTGACGCAGAGGAGGGGAGGGATGATGATGATGCTGATGATGATGATGATGATGGTGGTGGTGGTGATGAAGACGGTTATGCTGATGAGGCTGATGCTGATGATGATGCCTATCATGATGATGATGTTGCTGCTGACGATAATAATGTTGCTGCTGATGATGCTGGTGTTGATGCTAATGCTGATGTTGTTGATGATGATGCTGATGATGTTGCTGATGATGATGATGCCGCTGATGATGATGCTTCTGATGATGACGCTGATGATGATGCTGATGGTGATGATGATGACGATGCTGATGATACTGATGATGATGATGATGCTGATGATGATGATGATGATGATGGTGGTGATGATGATGATGCTGATATTCTTGATGATGCTGATGATGACAATGCTGATGATGATGACGATGCTGATGATGGTGATGATGGCGATGCTGCTGCTGATGATGGTGATGGTGATGACGATGATGCTGATGATGTTGGTGATGATGATGCTGATGATGCTGCTGATGATGATATTGATGATGATGATGATGCTGATGATGCTGATGATGCTGATGATGATGATGATGATGATGCTGATGATGATGATGAGATGATGATGATGATGATGATGATGATGATGATGATGATGATGATGATGATGATGATGATGATGATGATCTGATGTGATGATGATGATGATGATTATGGTGATGATGATGATGATGATGATGATGATGATGATGATGCTGATGATGATGATGATGATGATGATGATGATGATGATGGTGGTGGTGGTGGTGGTGGTGGTGATGATGATGATGATGATGAGGATGAGGATGATGATGATGTGATGATGATGATGATGATGATGATGATGATGATGGTGGTGGTGGTGGTGGTGGTGTGTGATGATGATGATGATGATGATGATGATGGTGGTGGGTGGTGGTGTGTGATGATGATGATGATGATGATGATGATGATGATGATGATGATGATGATGATGATGATGATGATGATGATGATGATGATGATGATGATGATGATGATGATGAGGATGATGGGAGGTGAGGAGGAGGAGGAGGAGGAGGAGGAGAGCGGAGTGAGGAGCAGGAGGAGGAGGAGGAGGAGGAGGAGGAGGAGGAGGAGGAGGAGGGAGGGGGGGAGGAGGAGGAGGAGGAGTAGGGAGGGATGTGTTACAGGATGGGATGAGGAGGAGGAGGAGGAGGAGAGGAGGAGGAGGAGGAGGAGGAGGAGGAGGAGGAGGAGGAGAAGGAGGAGAGGAGGAGGAGGTAGAGGAGGAGGAGGAGAAGGTAGAAGAGGAGAAAGGATATTGATGAGGGGGAGGAGGAGGAGGAGGAGGAGGAGGAGGAGGAGGAGGAGGAGGAGGAGGAGGAGGAGGAGAAGGAGAAGGAGATGAGGAGGAGGAGGAGGAGGAGGAGGAGGAGGAGGAGGAGGAGGAGGAGGAGGAGGAGGAGGAGAAGGAGAAGGAGGAGGAGGAGGAGGAGTTGGAGTTGGATGATGATGATGCTGCTGCTGCTGCTGATGATGATGATGATGATGATGATGATGATGCTTATATGATGCTGATGCTGATGCTGATGCTGATGATGATGATGCTGATGATGTTGATGATGATGAGGAGGAGGATGATGATGATGAGGGGGAGGAGGAGGAGGAGAAGGAGGAGGATGAGGAGGAGAAGGCGGCTTTTTGTTGCCATCGACGGCAAGCCGCAGCCCACGTACACCCAAGCGGGAGGGTGAGGCCCGCAAGTGAAAAGAGAGTGGTTAGTCAGAACCGACTCGTGGTCGGGAGCTGCGGCACTCGCTTGAGAGCCCGGGGCTGCACCGAGAAGGCGGAAAGTCGTCGCCACGACGTGCAGCCCTCGCGCATCCTCCGAATCCACCTCCGAATCCACCTCCGAGGGGTCCTCTTCCTCCTCCTCCTCCTCCTCAGGAAAAAAAAGCTCATGTGCTGACGTCCACCGTGACGCCGAGCACTTTGGGGTGGCGACCTTTGTAGCCCCTGCGCACCGAAGCGAGGGAGCGGTGCACAATCCTCGCGCAAACCACGAAATTGTCCGCCACAAATGTAAACCTTGCAGCTGTTGCAAACGAAAACGAAGATGCCGTCAGGCGCGTCGAAAAAAACGTCTCGTGTTGACGCGATGAAGATGAGGAGGATAAGGATGATGATGATGATGACGAGGATGATGATAAGGATGAGGACGAAGATGAGGCTGAGGAAGAGGAATAGGAAGAGGATGGTGATGCTGATAACGGTGATGACGATGATGATGATGATGATGATGATGATGATGATGATGATGATGATGCTGCTGATGATGATGATACTGATGCTGATGCTGATGATGATGCTTATATGATGATGATGCTGATGTTACTGATGATGCTGCTGATGACGATGTTGATGATTATGACGATGCTGAGGATGGTGATGCTGCTGCTGATGATGCTGTTGCTGATGATGCTGAGGATGATGATGAAGATGACGATGATGGTGATACTGCTGACGATGACGATGCTGATGCTGCTGGTGGTGCTGCTGCTGATGGTGCTACTGATGATGATGACGATGATGCTGCGAATGATGATGACGATGCTGATGATGATGATGATGATGATGATGATGATGATGCTTACGATTCTCAGTATGATGATGCTGATGCTGAGGATGATGATGTTGAGGCTGTGGACTCTGATGCTGATGATGATGCTGACGACGATGACGATGGCGATGCTGATGCTGATGCTGATGCAGCTGCTGCTGCTGCGGATGATGATGTTGATGATGCTAATTCTGATGATCATGAGGATGCGTATGATGCTGATGGTGCTGGTGATGCTGATACTGATGATGATGACGATGATGCTGATACTGCTAATGATGATGCTGATGATGCTGCTGATGATACTGATGCTGATGATGATGATTATGATGCCGATTACGGTGATGCTGATGATGGTCATTACGATGGTGTTGGTGATGATGCTGATGATGATGATGATGATGATGATACTGATGATGATGGCGATGATGATGCTGCGGCTGATGATGATGATGATGATGATGATGCTGTCGCTGATGATGAAGTTTCTGATGATGAGGGCGATGAGCATTGTTGTGATGGTGGCGTTTATGTTGATGATGGTGATGAGGATGATGCTGAGGATGATGATGATGATGATGATGACGATATTGATGATGATGATGATGATGATGATGATGATGATGATGATGATGACGCTGCCCCTGATGATGATGCTGCTGATGATGAGGATGATGAGCATGGTGGTGGTGGTGGCGGTGGTGATGATGATGCTGATGCTGACGCTGATGATGATGATGATGATGCTGATGATGACGATGATACTGATGATGATGACGTTTATGCTGATGATGGTAATGATGATGCTAATGATGCTGCTGATGATGCTGATGATGTTGATTATGCTGATGATGATGCTGCTGATGATGATGCTGGTGATGATCATGATGATGCTGATGATGATGATGATGATGATGATGATGATGATGATGATGATGATGATTATGATGATGCAGATGATGATGATGATGATGATGATGACGAGGAGGAGGAGGAGAAGGAGGAGGAGGTGGAGGGTCAGGCGGAAGAGGAGGACGAGCTGGAGGAGGGATCGGAGCAGGAGGAGGAGGAAGGCGAGGAGGGTCAGGCGGAGGAGGAGGAGGAGGAGGAGGAGGAGGAAAAGGAGGAATCCGTGGCCATTTTGGCTCAAGCCATTTTGGCTCAAGCCGCTCGCGCGGGGCGCCCCGGGGCTCAAGCCGGCTCGTCATGTGCGTCCGGAGTTGAAGTTGCTGGAAGTGGTCCGCCTGGAATGGCTGCGGGAGACCTGCGGGGCCGTGGGCCCGAGCATGTGTCTGGTGGTGAGCGCCGAGGCAAGGCCTGGGCTAGGCAGTCGGCCAGCAACCTTGCTCGCCGCCTGCGTCGGGAGCGTGCGCGCTCCGCCGACACCCTGACGGTCAGCTGTGCGGTGGACAAGGCCTTCGAGGATATCGGAGGCGGCTTGGACGGCGACATCGTGAGCGAGCTGCGGGAGCGGCTGGCTGCTCTGGGGCAGGCCCTCCTGCTTCACTGGCGGCTCGATGCAAAGCTCGGGCACCATCGTCATCGTCTCGGCGACGCACTTCGGGAGCTCGCGACCATCGTGAAGCTCCCCACCGCACTTGTCACAGAGGCGAAGGCCGTCAAGGCGGCAGGCGACAAGGCTCGGCACGAGCCGCTGGGCGATGGCGGCGATGGCATTCATGCTCGGAAGGCGTTTCCCGAGAATGTCGACGCGCCTGTCTTCGTCCCACAGGGCGACCTCGGGTTCGTGCAGGAGGCCGATTGGGACATCAGTTGGCGCATGTGCACGTGCGGCGCGACGTTCATCCCCGTGTACTGCGACGCTGCGGCGGCGGTGCCCGAGGCAGACGTGGACGGCGGCGCGCAGGAGCCCGAGGAGCAGCAGATCGGCGCCATCGAAGCCGCCGTGGCCGCCGTCGGGCAGGGCGACGGTGGGTTGGCGACGCCGCTCGAGAGACCCGAGTTCGGGGTCCACCCCCTCGACTCGGAGTATGCTGAGGGTGGGGCTGCTGAAGCGGGTGTCAGCGTCACGGAAGCGGAGGTGGCGATTGTCCAGCAGATGCATGCCCAGACCGTCGGGGCCCTCAACGCCAAGAGGACGAGGAAGTGGAGCAGACTTCATCCCCAGCCGTTCAAGCGGAAGCTGGCCAGGCTGGAGCGTCAAGGAGGGCCCGCGACGGAGGAGACAAACAATGCTACGTCCTGCAAGCAGCAGTGACGGTTTGTGTACATCGTGCCAGCCGTGCCGTGTCCGTCGTCTCCTCGGCCGTGATGCTCGTGTCTGGCACGGAGGTGCACTTCGTGGACCCCGTCGTTGCGCCCATCGCGGTCTTCTTCTGATCTTCTTTCGGTGCGTGTCTTGCGTTGCGGGACACGGACTCAGAGGCTCCAGAGGCTCCAGAGGAAAAGGAGGAGGAGGAGGAGGAGTACGAGGAGAAGAAGGAGGAGGAGGACGATGAGGAGTTAGAGGAGCACGGGGAGCCGGGGGAGGAAGAGGAGTTGACGCGAGGAGGATGTGGAGGATGTGGAGTTGGGGGGACGAGGAGGGAGAAGGCAGTATGGTGGATGAGGGAGATGCAGGTTGGAAGAGAAGGTATGATAGCTGATGACTACGTAAGAGGAGAAAGTGGATGAGTGATTGATGATGAGAAGCGGAACAGGACGGCAAGGGGAGGATGGAGGAAACGAAGGTTTGAATTTAGACGCGTACCTCGTCGAGAAGGGTACGGAGTCACCCCATCGGCTCCCATGTCTTGTGCCAGCCTCTGCACTTGGGCTCCAGTCCATGCGCAGTATGTATATGGCACCACGTGGTGGTGGTGGTGGTGGTGGTGGTGGTGGTGGTGTTGATAGGCGGGAGGAGGACCTAGATATCCGACGTCACGTATCGTTCGCTGCGCGTGCCCCATGCGCTCTCGACCTCATCCCCGGCATTTTTTTTGTCGAGGGGCCCTTTATTGATTGACTCCAGGAAGCGGACCCTGGACGACCAAGCCGTGAACCCAAATGCCCGTCGTGACCTAATTTTGTCGCCCCGGGAGCTCTGGGGCGGAGGCAAATTGTAGGAAGAGTCAGCGTTTGGTCAGACAGGAGAAGGTTTCTTCCCAGGCCTTCCTAATTGGCTGGAGCCGATGGTGTCGAAGGATCACGCCGCATCGCCGATGCATCGGCGACTCGTCGCGACCCGGAGCTCGATCTTCTGCCCATCCTGACGTCACAGATGCATCGCCGATACGTCGGCGACGCGGTGCGATCGTCTTACGCAGCCCTCAGGCAGCCTCCATGGGCCCGCCCTGCGGGCAGACCTGCCTTTCCGGAGCCGGGGCGGGGCGAGCGAGAAATTGCAGCCCCCCGCGGGCCCAGACGGCGCAGGGGGGCCCGTGGCAGAGCGTCGGCTCGTGCAGGGGTTCCTCGGCGGCGTGGCGCTCCTGCTGCCGTCGGGCCGAGTTGCGGGCCTGCCGATGCATACAGTCAGCAGGCATACGCGTAAGGACTCTTGCTACTAAGCACCCCGCCACTGCGGATAAGAGTGAGGGGGCCAGGGGGGAGAGGACGGGGAGGGGGAGGCGGAGCGGGGACTGGGAAGCGGAGCTACGACCAGGCGTCTCTTCAGGCAGCCCGCCTCCCCAGCGCGCCCTCCCAGCGCGCCTTCCCGGCGTGCCCCCCCAGCGCGTCCTTCCAGCGTGCCCTCCCAGCGTGCCCCCCCCCCCCCCCCCCCCCCCAGCGTGCCTTTCCAGCGTGCCCTCCCAGCGTGCCCGCCCAGCGTGCTCTCCCAGCGTGCCCGCCCGGCATCGCCGTCCCTGATCACAGCCACGCGCGCGCATGGATCAGGTCAGACCGCCGGCCCCCCCACTCGCACTGATGAGAAGTCTCGCAGCACATCCCTCGTCGACTCTGAGCTTCGCAAGGCGCCCCCTGGGCTCTGCGGGCCCATCGGGAGATTTAAGTCGGGCCTGTCCCTCTAGAGGGGGAAAATCTAAAAGTAGTAAAACATAGTAGGGGGAGTATTTTTGGAGTACTTCTGGGCATCTTTTGAATATTGAACATTTTTTATTCCCAACCCTCCTTCGTTGGGTTCTCGTTTTGAATAGAGCACTGCTCGCGCGTCTCCTTTCTTCCTTCCCGCCCCTCTCTTCCCCCTTGCCTTTTGCCTCGCTCGTCGCTGCGTGCCAGCTGGGGGGCTGCGATCTGTGAAACTGTCGCCACTTTCGAGGCCTGCTGGGGGGCCCAGCACAGTGGGTACACACGGCGGACATCCCTGGGGGGCTGCGATCTGTGAAACTGTCGCCACTTTCGAGGCCTGCTGGGGGGCCCAGCACAGTGGGTACACACGGCGGATTGAAATTGCACCTCGCCATCCTGGGGGGCTGCGATCTGTGAAACTGTCGCCACTTTCGAGGCCTGCTGGGGGGCCCAGCACAGTGGGTACCACGGCGGATGGGCCATCCCTGGGGGGCTGCGATCTGTGAAACTGTCGCCACTTTCGAGGCCTGCTGGGGGGCCCAGCACAGTGGGTACACACGGCGGATTGAAATTGACCTCGCCATCCCTGGGGGGCTGCGATCTGTGAAACTGTCGCCACTTTCGAGGCCTGCTGGGGGGCCCAGCACAGTGGGTACACACGGCGGATTCAAATTGGACCTCGCCATCCCTGGGGGGCTGCGATCTGTGAAACTGTCGCCACTTTCGAGGCCTGCTGGGGGGCCCAGCACAGTGGGTACACACGGCGGACTCAAATTGGACCTCGCCATCCCTGGGGGGCTGCGATCTGTGAAACTGTCGCCACTTTCGAGGCCTGCTGGGGGGCCCAGCACAGTGGGTACACACGGCGGACCCAAATTAGACCTCGCCATCCCTGGGGGGCTGCGATCTGTGAAACTGTCGCCACTTTCGAGGCCTGCTGGGGGGCCCAGCACAGTGACGACGCGCGGATTCAAATTAGACCTCGCCATCCCTGGGGGGCTGCGATCTGTGAAACTGTCGCCACTTTCGAGGCCTGCTGGGGGGCCCAGCACAGTGGGTACCCACGGCGGATTGAAATTAGACCTCGCCATCCCTGGGGGGCTGCGATCTGTGAAACTGTCGCCACTTTCGAGGCCTGCTGGGGGGCCCAGCACAGTGGGTACACACGGCGGATTGAAATTGCACCTCGCCATCCCTGGGGGGCTGCGATCTGTGAAACTGTCGCCACTTTCGAGGCCTGCTGGGGGGCCCAGCACAGTGGGTACACACGGCGGATTCAAATTAGACCTCGCCATCCCTGGGGGGCTGCGATCTGTGAAACTGTCGCCACTTTCGAGGCCTGCTGGGGGGCCCAGCACAGTGGGTACACACGGCGGATTGAAATTGCACCTCGCCATCCCTGGGGGGCTGCGATCTGTGAAACTGTCGCCACTTTCGAGGCCTGCTGGGGGCCCAGCACAGTGGGTACACACGGCGGATTGAAATTGCACCTCGCCATCCCTGGGGGGCTGCGATCTGTGAAACTGTCGCCACTTTCGAGGCCTGCTGGGGGGCCCAGCACAGTGGGTACCCACCGCGACTCAAATTAGACCTCGCCATCCCTGGGGGCTGCGATCTGTGAAACTGTCGCCACTTTCGAGGCCTGCTGGGGGGCCCAGCACAGTGGGTACCCACCGCGGACTCAAATTAGACCTCGCCATCCCTGGGGGGCTGCGATCTGTGAAACTGTCGCCACTTTCGAGGCCTGCTGGGGGGCCCAGCACAGTGGGTACTCACGGCGGACTCAAATGGGACCTCGCCATCCCTGGGGGGCTGCGATCTGTGAAACTGTCGCCACTTTCGAGGCCTGCTGGGGGGCCCAGCACAGTGGGTACTCACCGGCAGATTCAAATTAGACCTCGCCATCCCTGGGGGGCTGCGATCTGTGAAACTGTCGCCACTTTCGAGGCCTGCTGGGGGGCCCAGCACAGTGACGCCACCGCGGACTCAAATTAGACCTCGCCATCCCTGGGGGGCTGCGATCTGTGAAACTGTCGCCACTTTCGAGGCCTGCTGGGGGGCCCAGCACAGTGACGCCACGCGCGGACCCAAATTAGACCTCGCCATCCCTGGGGGGCTGCGATCTGTGAAACTGTCGCCACTTTCGAGGCCTGCTGGGGGGCCCAGCACAGTGACGCACCGCGGATTCAAATTAGACCTCGCCATCCCTGGGGGGCTGCGATCTGTGAAACTGTCGCCACTTTCGAGGCCTGCTGGGGGCCCAGCACAGTGGGTACCCACCGCGGACTCAAATTAGACCTCGCCATCCCTGGGGGGCTGCGATCTGTGAAACTGTCGCCACTTTCGAGGCCTGCTGGGGGGCCCAGCACAGTGGGTACTCACCGCAGATTCAAATTAGACCTCGCCATCCCTGGGGGGCTGCGATCTGTGAAACTGTCGCCACTTTCGAGGCCTGCTGGGGGGCCCAGCACAGTGGGTACCACCGCAGATTCAAATTAGACCTCGCCATCCCTGGGGGGCTGCGATCTGTGAAACTGTCGCCACTTTCGAGGCCTGCTGGGGGCCCAGCACAGTGGGTACCCACCGCAGATCAAATTAGACCTCGCCATCCCTGGGGGGCTGCGATCTGTGAAACTGTCGCCACTTTCGAGGGCTGCTGAGGGGCCCAGCACAGTGGGTATTCACCGCAGACTCAGATTAGACCTCGCCATCCCTGGGGGGGCTGCGATCTGTGAAACTGTCGTCACTTTCGAGGGCTGCTGAGGGGCACAGCACAGAAGGTATTCACCGCAGACTCAGATTAGACCTCGCCATCCCTGGGGGGCTGCGATCTGTGAAACTGTCGCCACTTTCGAGGGCTGCTGAGGGGCCCAGCACAGTGGGTACTTACCGCAGACTCAGATTAGACCTCGCCATCCCTGGGGGGCTGCGATCTGTGAAACTGTCGCCACTTTCGAGGGCTGCTGAGGGGCCCAGCACAGTGGGCTTCCCGCACGTGTTTCTCCTGCTCTTCGTTCCCGACTCCCCATGTCCTCTTCGAGCCTGTAGTTGTCGCCCCTCGTTCTTGTACGGTTCTCCTGCGCATCATTCCATAGGCGCGTGTCCCAAGTAGCTTACATATCAAACAGCGGATCCTGCAATTTGATTGTCCATGCAAGTTTCGGCCAGCTCGTCTTTTCCTATGATACAAATGGGTTGGGTACGTCGCAGGGTATTTTTTTCGTCCTCACCCCCCTGTATGGGGACAGGCCCGACCTAACGGGAGATGCGCAGTTCTGGCGGAGCGCCCGCCGGCAGGCCAGTTCCTTTTTTGGTGTGCCTGCGGTGCCGCTCCTTGGAGCCCCCTGGGGGGGCGCCCCGCCGCCACGATGGGCCTCGCCCCGGAATCGTGGCCAGAACGCACGGGGGGGGAGGAGGAAGACGAGGGGGAGGAGGAGGAAGAGGAGGAGGAGGAGGAGGAGGAGGAGGAGGAGGAGGAGGAGGAGGAGGAGGATCCAGGCATTGGGCGACCCAAAAAATGCAGAGGATGCGGATCTGTCGCCTTCTTTGGGCCTCCTGGGAGGCCCTCGTCGCCACGGTTGGGTTCCCCTCGGTAGCTTGGCCAGAAAAACCAACCTGGTGGTTGAGGTCGAGGGCACGGGGACCCTCGTCGCCGCGGGCGGATTCGCCTTGGAATCGTAGTCAGAGCGCACCCCGGTAGAGGTCGGGGGGTGTTGGGATCGGTGGCCTTCTTTTCGTTTCTCCAAGGCCTTGGTGTGGCGCATTGTGGACAGAGGAACGGCCACAGAGGCTCAGCCTGCCCGCAGACACCCCTCAAACTCTGAGCCC